ATTAGTGTTCAAGGCCTCAAACCTGTTCCTGAGATGATTCTGAAATTCAGGTGGTATGAAATTAAAGTCATATTTTGGCTCCTGTGGATTCGGTTTAATTTTCCTCAGCTTCAGCTTGAGCTTGCACATGAGTAGTTGGTGGTCTGTTCCACAATCAGCTCCTGGCCTAGTTTTCACAGCTGATATTGAGCTTCTCCAGCGATTTTTTCCACAGATGTAATCAATCTGATTCCTATGCATACCATTTAAGAGACATAAAACCTTGATGGCTGGGCCAATTAAGTATCATCATGATGAACAGAGAAAACATTGAAGTTGTCAAAGATTTAATCTTATTCAGATCCACAATCAACATTCATGGAAGGAGTAATCAAGAAGAAAGTTAGAAATAAACAAAATAAATAAACACTGCAATTAAAAAAAACCCAAAACAAAAACAAGACACATGGCATTGGGAAAACCAACTACTAAAGACCTTTTCCAAGTAGTCAAAAGCAAAGATGTCATTTTGAGGAGTACATCTTAATCAAGCCAAGGTATTTTCAATTACTTCCTAGGCATGTGAAGGTTGGACAAGGAGTAAGGTAGAATGAAGAATTATTGATATCTTTGTCTTTTGGCTTTTTTCTTTTCTTTTTTTTAATTATTGATATCTTTGAATCATGTTGCTGGAAAAAAGTACTGACTACACCATGGAGAAACAATCTGTCTTGAAAGAAGGGCCGCCAGGGTGCTCTTTAAAGACTGGACTGGAGAGATGATCTCACATACATTGGGTACATTATCAGAAGAAACAAGTCCCTAGAGAAGGACATCATGCTTAGAAAAGTAAAGGGTTAATGAAGGGACAAAGACTCTCAGATGGACCGATGGAGCATCTGCAGCATTGGGCCCAGGCAGCAGAGATATGGCTGGTGGGGGACCAGGCTGGGTTTCATTCTGCTGTGCATGAGATCACTATGAGTCAGTATTGACAATTTAGCACCTAATAACAACATTTTCCCATGTTAAGATCAATAAAGACTTCCAGAATCCCCTCCAGCAGTGGCAGTGGCCAGGAGGACTCTGCTCACCTTGTCCCCGGACACCAGGAAGTACCCGCTGGTGCTCCAGGTGAGGATAGTGACCTCTGCTGTGTGCGTCGGGGGCACGGCGTGTTGCTCCTTGTCCTGCTTGTTAAATAGGACCACTTCCCCCGTCTCCCAGCCAACGGCCAGAACCAGCCGCGTTGGGTGCCAGCACAGGGATGTCACTTGGCAGGACCGCTCCATGTGTGTGTCTGGCACGCACTCACCCTGTGTGGAGGAGAACAGAGGGACACTCCTGCTCAGGATGATAGTAGCTGGCCAGCTGGGGAAGGGATATTAGCTAGGAGAGAGAGTGCCAAGGCCAGTGTCATGGCCACCCCTTGGGAAAGAGCAGACTCTCCTGGAGGATTTTCTCAGCTGTTAGCCTTTCTCCTGTGGAGCTGCTGGCTGACCTTTGACCTCTGACCTTTCAGATAACAGCCCAGCACCACCAGATGCCTCCACATTCGGACTTCTATTACATTAGGAACTTTGACCTCCATGAGAAGTGGCAATGGGTGTCAAATGTTTTCATCATGAATACCCTAGGCTTTAGGGATCTCATCACACACATAAACCCACACCCACACTCATCACAAATATGTAATACCATACACACTGTACACGTCTCTCCCCACAATACCACATCAGACACACCCCACACACATACGTATACCAGACACGTCATATACACACACACACCCCTCCCTACACCACCACACTATACACACATATCCCCCATATATACATATATATACACAAATATACACAAATACACACACATCCCCACACCACCATACAGTGCACATACGCATCCCTTATACTATATACACACACACACACACACACACACACACACACAC